AGATACTACAGGAACAGGTGGTTAAGACCCAAGCAGTTGCTTATTCAAAGAGCTGACAACAGGGGGAAAAAACATGTAAAATGATTATTGACAATCTGACATAGGACTCAAAAGAGAAACTGCACAAGATACATAAGAAATGATTAACCCTACTAGGCACAGATGTTATAAGTAAAAGGTAGTAGGTGGATTTTGAAAGATAACTAGAAATTTTCCAAAGGCACATGAATAAAAAAGGGTTCAAAGACATGGAGTGATTAAACAGCATATTCCATTGTAACCATCAGGTATATACTGAATATTTAATTTTCATGTCATAAAAATGGAAACGTACTTAAGATCACAAAAGCAAAAAATAATAGGAATGGATGTTTCTTCAAAGTCATCTAGATCAGTTGTTCTCAAGTGTAGTCCTTGGATCAGCAGCAGCATAATCCTGAGTCCTAGAAGAAATGCAAATTTGCAGGCTCCATCCAAGATCCACTGAATCAGAAACTCTGGGGTGGGGGTCCAGCAACCAGCAGTTTAACAAGTCCAGGTTATTCTTATGCAAGCTAAAGTTTGAGAACCACAGATTTAGACCTAGGGTTTTCAGCACTATTGACATTTGGGGGCAGATAATTCTTCAGTTTGGAAGAGTGTCTTGTGCATTATAGAGTGTTTAGCAGCATCCCTGGCTTCTACCCACTACATGCCAGTAGCACCCCTCAGTTGTAAGGGCCAAAAATGTCCCTAGATAGTGCCTAAATATCCCCTGAGAACAGAAATTATCCACATTTGAGCCCTAACCGGTTTGGCTCAGTGGATAGAGCGTCAGCCTGTGGACTGAGGGGTCCCAGGTTTGGTTCCGGTCAAGGGCATGTACCGTATTTGCTGGCGTATAAGACGATTTTTTGGCCCTGAAAAATATGCCTCCAAGTGGGGGGTCGTCTTATATGCCAGGTACACTTCAGATAGACTGCCCATAGTGCTTGCCCCGTGCCATAGTGGCCTCCCGATGCCCGCCCACTTCATTCCACATCCCGTTCAGGCCTCAGCAGCGCTGCTGGGTGTATGCTCGGCTGTTATGCGATTTT